TTCGGTGAGCTGGAACCAATTACCCAAAAACCCATTGAAACAATGGTTTCGGTTAACGAGCAACCTTCTGGAACTAATTGTGCTCGTTAACCGAGGGACCACTGTACTGTAGTCTTTGCACCAAAGCTAGTTATTGGTTATCATTTGCTCTTGCCTTGATACTGCACCAGTAGTGTTAAAATATTGCATATATTGTTCTCTTGTCTGCTTCGCTTGCTCACAAGATCTCCTACTACAATGACCTCTCTGTAGATTAATGAAGAGGTTTACTGCTAGACTTCCTTGTGGATCTTCACTGTTCACATGATGATATTCAGCTGAAACATACTGATCTCCTCTCCTCTTACGCAAGAAATTATGAAGGACGCAGTATGCCACTATGACGCGAGTGACGTTTTCCAACTTAAGGTTAATAGGAGCATTGAATACAGTAGAACGTCGATATAACACGAGATGCGAGATACGTTCCAAGAGAGGTCGCTTTAAACTGAATTCGCACTAAATCGAAGTGTTATTTTAATGGAATAATTTAGTTTGGTACTTGAGAGAAACACAAAATACTAAAAAGACTGAGAGTCTACCCAGATGCACCTCAGCCCATCTCCCAGAATAAACAAAACATTGTTTTTGTAGTATTATGTTAAAACAAACACTCATAAATCAACACAGCTAAAATAAGGGATGCAAAATGGTCTGTTTACTGGTTTGGAAGATGGGCGGGAGGGAGGGAGGTGAGGTGATATGTTTGACAGTTGATGCCAAGGTCTAGTGCTTATTTATTTATCTGACCTTAACCCTTTAGGTGCGTAATTAAATTTCGCGCCGGTTCCTGAAAAGTGTCAATTATCCTGCCAAAAATGAATTTCATATAATCACATTTTCTATATGTTTTTCCTAGAGAACTTTTAGTATATTTTCCAAATCTGGAACAAAAATTCACATATGTGTGCAAATTTTAGAGAAAAAATGACATTTATACCCAAAAATGCAGGAAATTGGTATAAATCAATGTCTGGTATATGGCAAATAAATTTAATCAATTTGGTTACTAAACAGCAAATTTAGATATGTATTACATATTCAGATAATATCAAACAAAATAGTACAAAAATAAGCTATATTGCATTCAGGAAATACTCCTATACCTCAATACATAATATGTCCGCATGTCGTCTCATTTGGGGAAGTTTTTTCAAGGCCGTGGGATATCCCCGCTTGTCGCATTTAATTAATATAATATTTTGGGCGGGTTTACCCGCATGCCGCATCCAAAGGGTTAAGAGTGATTTTAAGTTTTTCTCTTATAAAATGTCACTGAACTGAGATCGGAGAATATAATTAACATTACTGGAATTCTTATAAGATAGTGATTAATTTGAATATAAGCATGCTAAATCTTGCATTAGACATAAAATTTTTAGTTATAATTAAGAATTTTACTACAAAGAGCAAAAATTTTTATCTCGTGCAAAATACATGACGTTTATATTCAAATTATTCGTTGTCTTGCAAGAATTCTAGGAATACATATAATATTCTCCTAACTTTAGTTAGGAGAATATTATAAGATAAAAGATAAAAACTTATACATATAAGATAAAAGATATAAGATAAAAACTTTAAGCCTAAAACACCAAACTCTGGCTGGGAAGATGGGAAGTGACAGTGACATGTTTGACAGTTGGCACCGAAGGTCTAGTGACGTATTTATTTGTTTATTTATGTCCTTTAGCTTGAGTTTATGTTTTTTTTTGCTTATAAAATGTCGCAGAAGTGACTGGGGAGAATATAATTTACATTGCTGGAATTCTTGTAAGACAGTGATTAATTTGAATATAATCATGCTATAGTTTGCACTAGACAAAAATTTTAGTAATCATTTAGTACATTATTTTGAGTACATGTACAGTACAGCTTTGCCTATAGGACAGTGTAGCGTGCCCAGAGAAACATTAGGCGCAAAATTTTAAAATGTGATGCACCAAATTGACTCGCACAAAATAGGAAAGATTCGCTTTAAATTAAAACATTGTTCTTAATTGTGAGTGTCGCTTTAAATCAATAATCTTAACTTGAATTACTTTATATCGACGTTCTACTGTATACGAAATCGAGTGGCCATGTTTCCGAAAACATTCTCTACAGAGCGCCATGCTCGTGATAATCTGTAATTAAATATTTTACGCTCATGTGTCAGTTCCCTTTGAGCGTATGGTTTCATGAAATCTTCACGAAGTGCGAAGACTTCATCACCCATAAAAACAAACGGAAGCACATCAGGATGGTTAGTAGGTGCTTTCGCATTTTTCCACAGAGTTCTCCATAGAATTTGGTGTTCTTCAATACTCCACCATCAGATATTCGCCCATTAACACCAAAGTAAATAATATTGAACTCATACTCTGCATTAGCGATAGCCATAAGTACAAGACTATGACCACCTTTATAGTTAAAGTACAGTAGTATGAGCAAGCTCCACTTGGTGGTGCAATGGAGACATGCTTTCCATTCACATTTCCTAGGCAATTGGGGAAGTTCCAGGCATTGTTGAATTTCTTCCCATTCACGCTCACAGTTAGGGAACTAAAAAGGAAATGTTTTATTAAAAAAAATCATCACAAATACTCAAACTGTCCACACACAATATACATACCATACATGAGAGAGAGAGAGAGATGGATTTCTTTCTTTTTTTAATTTATCATTAAAATTTATTTTTAGGACCCTGAAGCATCTCTTCTCATGGAACCAGAGACACCTGACTCCAGTGAAATTCGGCCATCATCAGCATTGAGCGAGACATCAGGATTCACGGGTCAATTATCAACAACAACAAAAATCAGGAAATCTGGTTCATCTCACGAGAGCAACGGGGTACTGTCTTTGAATGGAGATATACTTGCAGCATCTACACCAGAGGATGAATGGGACATCACTGACAAAGTTGTTGCGACTAAATTGTGTAATTTGCCAGAAAACATGCAAATACACACAGAGAAATTAATTAATGATGCTCTTTATGAAGCTCGAAGAGGTTTACTTAATGACAATAGTAAAATCTGTTCCAATGAATATGCACTGCCCTCTTCTGCCTCATGTCTCCAGCCTAGCTATTCCAGTCAGAAGCATGTCCTGAGCCCATAGCCTATTTTCCTACTCAGGACAGTTCAATTTAAGCCATACATCAATAATACTTTGTATTTAGTACTTCATTCACATTAGCCTATTTTGAGTAATAAAGCAAACTAATTTCCTTTTTGTACAAAAAACGTAGTTTTGATAATATTCATTTGTATTTTATGTTTGCATTATATGGCATTATTTACCCAACTTAAGGAGTGTCATTTTCAGATTTTAACAGCTTTATTTTTATGTACTGTATTACCAATACAATAAAAGACTATGTTCCTACACATTACACATTTCTATTACCTTCATGTAGTCCTTTTGCAGTGCTTGCCAAATTGCAAATTTCATATCTTCGTAACTTCTCCCTGTGGCAAGAAACCTCAACGTTGCAGAAAGTCGTTCATTGGGAAATATTGCCTTCTGCATGTGAGTTCTTGTTTCTAAATCCTGGGAGTAATAATGTTAAGAAGGTTTAGATATGTCTCTTCATCCATTCTCAAATACAAGTAGTTGAACCAGTCTCCTTTTTCAAGCCTCAGTTCATTCAGTAGTTGTGTATGAGAAAATGTTTCCCTTTTCCTTAGCCAATCCTTGGATCACTTCTTGCGATGAAATTTTTTCATATCCAGTACTACAATAGCATCTACAGTAGTCAGTGCTAAACAAATCCAACTCTCTGTTACTCAGTGGAGCCGACATCACGGAGGTCTTTCTTCAGTGACAGCCGAGATGAACTTAGCAATTTCTTCAAACAGACTTAACACATGTGTGGCACAAACCAGTTTGTCAAACTAGTTTGATCAAACTGGTCTGACAGTTTGAACTTAGTGTGTATGGGGTGCATAAGGCCGGTTCAGAGGGTCAAACATGTATAAGCGTGGTTGCGTATTCTGGATATGCATGCCTTGAGATTGTACTGTACAGTCAACCCTCGCTTTACGCGGTCCCACATTCCGCGTTTCCACGTTTACGCGGTACCCTGTCGAAACAGGAATGCTCACATTCCGCGGTGCGTGTACCCCTTTACGTGGAGAATGGCTGGCGAACCGCGCCATTTTTGGAGTCAAACCTCCCGCCATCTCTCCTGCCCTCTCCCGCCATCCGCCATGTTGTGTAAGCGACGCGAGCATGGTGCGCACAAGGTCGCCCAGTCATCAAAACATTACCGAGTTCTTCACCCGCCACCCACCACAGCCGGCCCAAGTCAGTGATAGTGATAATTATAGTGAGGATATGGACTTATATGGACTTTGAGGGGTTTGACAAAGAGGCCCTGCAAGCCTCTGTGGTGGATAGTGATACAATTGGTACAAGTGATACAGGTGAGGGCCAATAATCTGCCCTCTGCCTCGGAACCAACCGCCCATCCCCGTGTGCCCAGCCATCTTTTCTACTTATGCAAGTGTTAAAAACCTAATATTATTGATATTTCTCTTAATTATTAATTGTGTGTGCATACCATCATAAAGTTAAGATAATATTTTTACTACAACATAGTTGTGTGTCGTCAAAAAGTGGAGTTTGGGGGTCGGCCCGGTCTCTATTTCAATTAATCCCATATGTTATGTTGTTCACTTTATGCGTTTCTCACTTTCCGTGGTACCCTGTGGGTTGTATTAACCGCATAAAGTGAGGGTTGACTGTATTTATATTTTATTTTTGTTATCCTGCTCTTTTGTATTTTGTTGGTTCTATCTGTATTCTAATTTATATGGAATTGATCATTTGAATAATGACAAGATCCAAACTAGAATTAAACCACGCTCATTCACTTTATGTTAGGCATATGTATTTTTGCAGTAATATGTTGAAAAAATTAATACTATATTATGGAATTTCATTATGCAGCACTATCTTAATTCCTTTAACAGGTTCCTATATTCAGCAAACGGGAAGACATGTTCCTGACACTTTGTGAATACTCTGTCCCCATGCTGAGGGCTACATGGTTTATAAAGATGACATCTGCATATCATGAGTCAAAGGTGGCTGAGTCCAAGATAAAGAAGCGTCAACAACCTGACATTGCACAAGGTATGAATAAGTGTATGCAAGGAGGTCATACATGTTTTACAGGGTATTTAAGGTGGTTAGAGGTGTTCATTTTGGTGGATCTCTTCCTGCTTGAGACATCTGATGCTAGCGTCCCAGCAGGGAGTTTAGTTATGGGCCTTATGATGTATGCAATTATATTCGTGGCTATTTCAATAATGTATCCCCTGTGAATATTCAGGAATTTGTGGACTACAGGGACTCCTCATTATATTTATGGGTTCTCATCCTAAAAGTCCATACATAGAACAGTTATATGAATAACTCAGCAATTTTTCTCTTTTAAATCATTGCAATAAGAGGGGGTTAGGTTCCAAGCTGGTCAAGTTAGGTTACATTTGTTGGTTAATCTGAAATAAAAAGACAGAAACAAGTACTAATCATATAAATATTGTACAACAATAAATACATTTCATACAAATCATATTAAATATGTACTATACAGTAATAAATAAAAGTTGCCGGTATACAGTGAGAGCTTACGTGAGAGACCATCAGCCAGCACTAAACCACTCAAATAAGTCACTGAGTGTGAACAACTGTAGTAGGACCTGCTGCCATATGGCATCACGAAAATTATGACCAAGTCCCAGGTTGCTGATCTGACTTCTGCCTCATTTACACACAATTGCAGGGTCTCAATTGTTTCTCTTACTATTGACAACACAACATACATATATTGTTTCTCACTTTTGATTTTTTTTTCCATTTTTGTATTTCTTTATGGTTCTTTATTATTAGTAGTATTATTAGCATTATTATCATTACAGTGGTCCCTCGGTTAATAAACGCTCCGGTTAACGAAATTTCGGTTAACGAATTACCTTCCACAAGAATCTTCAATTGGGTTAACGAAAAAAATTTGATTAACGAAATCCTTACGAAAATCACGTTTTGTTTTGAACATCAGCTGATAAGCTGAGGAGGTACTCAGCCAATTCAGTAATCTCTTCTATGTTTACATTCGTTTCCAATGGAGTAAATATCAAGAAAATTGTGCTCTTTAATGTTTGTGCATTTTTTTATACAGTACAGTATTAAAATTATTGGCCATTCTAAAATTTAGCCATCCAAGCTCTGTCTACATAAAGTTTTTCAACTATTATTTTTGACTCGATATAAGTAACTTTATTCATTTATTGAAACTCATTTACATGCACACACTGTCCTAAGGACAAAGCTGAACTGTACATGTAATCAGAACAATGTACAATATGTTTACTAAAATTTTTGTCTCGTGCAAACTATGGCATGTTTACATTCAAGTTAATCACTATCTTATAAGAATTCCAGCAATGTAAATTATATTCTCCCCGATCACTTCTATGAAATTTTATGAGCAAAAAACAAAAATTCAATCTAAAGGAAATAAATAAACAAATAAATACTTCACTAGACCTTTGGCGCTAACTGTCAAACATGTCACTGTCACCCCTCCCTCCCTCCCAACCCCCCCCAACCCCTCCACCCCCAACCCCCTAACCCCCTCCTCCCAGCAAAGGTTTCGTGTTATACAATAGGCTTTAAGTTTGTATCTTATATAATATCACAGACAAAGTTGGGAGATTATAATTTGCATTGCTGGAATCCTTGCAAGACACTGAATAATTTGATTATAAACGTCATATATTTTGCACAAGAGATAAAAATTTTTGCTCTCTGTAATAAAATTCTTAAATTAGAACTAAAATTTGTATGTCTAATGCAAATTATAGCTTGTTTATATTAGATGGCGGCCATTTTTCAAGATGGCTGCCAAATTGACCTTTGAAAGATTATTTTTTTCTTCTAGAAATTGATGTAGTTGGTCAATCTAAATGATCTTAGTGTCGATATGTATGTTTTCAAGCATGCTCAGATGATTTTTTCTATTTCTGATACTCTCAGATATATATTTGTCTTATTTATGACTGGTTTTATGCACTGGTTTTATGTTTTTTCCAACTAGGTGAGGGTAGCATGCAGAGGGTCTCTGCATGTGAGGGAGTGATTGTCGGGCACTACCAGGGCACACTGGTGACATCACTGCTGTGCAACCCAGCATGGGGTTCAGTGTCAGCTAAGAAAAAGCATGTCATACTGCAACAGCTTAGTGTCCCAAATGCTGCTTAACCAACCCCAAATCAGTTAAGCAGCCGCACCTGAATTGACAGGATATGCCAGCGTGGGAGAGCCGAGCCAAGGATAACGGGGTTTTAGTCATCTAGATGGTGTACAGATCGCACGAGACTAATGACACTGGACGAACGATCGGACTAGGTGTAGGGCAAAAGGCATGAACCTAGTTGTATCCCATACAAGAAAGTGGTCATCAGGGTGGTCAAAGGATAAACCCTCGGCCCTGAAGATCAAAAATAGTCATGGACACAAAATCTACCAACAAATCATTCCTCACTGACTGGCCAAAGTGTTGTCTTTGTCAACAGGATAAGAAGGAAGATCTTAAGTCTCCACATGCAAATCCTGCCAAAAAAGGAGATGACGGTTACAAGAGCTTGGCAAGGAATATTCCTCTGTTTCATTCAATCAATGCACTGCCAATCAAGCTTGACCCTGCAAGACTTGTTGAAGATGATGGGATAGAGGAGACCTTGAGGAGAAACAAGGCACAGTATCATGAGAGTTGCAGACTTCTGTTCAACAACACAAAGTTAAATAGAGCTCAGAAAAGGCAAACCTCTGCAGTTGCTACAGAGGAGAGCGGCAGTAGCAAGATACCACGAATGTTCAGAAACCCCAAAGCAACAGACTGCTTTCTATGTGAGGAAGAAGCTTCGGGAGATGACATAAGACATGCAATGACAATGAAACTTAATAAAAGATTGAATGATTGTGCGAAGACACTTAGCGATGGAAAACTCCTTGCCAAACTAAGTGCAGGAGATGTTGTGGCACAAGAACTGAAGTATCACCCTCGCTGCCTGGCAGACCTGTACAACCGAGAAAGAACACACCGAAATGCTCATGAGCAAGAAGAAGCACAAGAGCTTCATCTGAACAAGGACGCATACCCAACTGCTTTCTCTGAACTGGTCACTTACATCACTCAGATGAAAGCTTCTAGTGAAGGTACTGAACCACCCATTTTCAGACTTGCTGACCTGGTCACACTCTACAGACAGAGACTTGAGCAGCTAGGTGTTGGATCGCCCGATGTTCATGCTACTCGACTGAAGGACCAGCTGCTTTTTCACATCCGCCAGCTGCAAGCTCATCACCAAGGAAGAGATATCCTTCTGGCTTCTGAGAAGGATGTTGGCTCAATCCTGGCACAAGCAAGCAAATACGGTGACACGATCCATCTGGCCAAGGCTGCTGGGATGATACGACGGGACATGCTTCAGCACAAGTCACACTTCAGCAGTACATTTCATGAAGGATGCATTGAACAGGCTGTTCCACCATCACTGCTTCAATTTGTATGCATGATCGAACATAGTGCAGATATCAAATCCCAACTCCAGCATGGCGCATCGAAGTCTGACCTTGCTATGTCACAGCTCTTACAGTACAACTGCTTTGCCAACTACAAGGTAGGAACACAAATCCACAGACACTCCAAGGACCATGAGACACCTTTTGCTATCTACGTCGGCATGTCTGTGTTTGCTAAGACAAGAAAGAGGCAGCTCATCGACATGCTGCATGAAAATGGGGTCAGCATTTCATATGACAGAGTTCTACAATTATCTGCCCAGCTAGGAGAAGCAGTTGTATGCCAATACGTGGAAGATGGAGTGGTGTGTCCACCAATCTTGAGGAAGCAGTTGTTCACGACTTCAGCAGTGGACAACATTGACCACAACCCCACTGCGACTACGGCCAAAACGTCCTTCCATGGGACCAGTGTGTCCATCTGCCAACATCCAAGCCCTGAGCAGGCTGGTGAGGAGCGAGCCACTCAGACGGAATGCAGATACGATGGTCAAGAAAGTTCCTGAGCTTCCAGAGGCATTCATCAATGTCCGACCAGCTTATATTATGAAGAATCCCAATCCTCCCTTGGTAGCACCTCAGTCATTGCCAGCACCTGAGTCAATCCAGTCACATCTGCAGGAAGAGTGTGCTTGGCTGGAAGAGGTCTTGCTCACTGAGGATGTGGCTGATGAAGTCTGCATCATGTGGGCAGCTCACCATGCAGCACAGAAGAGGAGTCAGTGAATTTGAAATGAGTGAGCATTACGTCTCTGCTTCCCCTGCTTCAAGATCAGGCACACACTGTGGCAATCATCAAGTAGGTTGTAGGTAGTAGACAGCTACCAAACAGGGAGTTACTACCGCCTGGGAAGATACTGGTAGACCCTGCTGCCATATGGTATCACCAAAATTGTGACCAAGTCCCAGGTTGCTGATCTGACTTTCTGCTTCATTTACACACAATTGCAGGGTCTCAATTGTTTCTCTTACCATTGACAACACAACATAATTATATTGTTTCTCACTTTTGATCTTTTTTTCATTTTTGTAATTCATTATTATTATTATACAGTATTATTATTATTATTATTATTATTATTATTATATTATTATTATTATTATTATTATTATTATTATTATTACTAGCAGAATCGCCGCCCTCCGGGCGGCTCATCCGCTAGGGCACGGTAGGACGCCACCCTCCGGGAGGCTCCACATTGTCTCACTGTTCAGTCCCCCAAACTTCTTCTTCCATCAATAGTTCATTAACGGTGTATGTAAGTTTCACCATGTTTTTCACTACAACGGTACAGCAAAGTATACTTTTTTAGCATTAAACACCATCCATCATCACTGCATATAACACCACCCATCATCACTACATATAACATCATCCATCATCACTACATATAACACCATCCATCATCACTACAAATAACACTATCCATCATCACTACATATAACACCATCCATCATCACTACATATAACAACATCCATCATCACTACATACAGTATATCATCATCCATCATCACTACATATAACACCACCCATCATCACTACATA